ATTGTAATTTCCCAACTGGAAAAATCTTGACCCGTGAAGATGTCATATTCTTGATTTTCCATTATTATCTTATTTCCTTTATTATTGTTGTTATTGTTGTGTGTGTGTTTTTTTTGTGTATCCGCAAAAAATATTAATTATCTTCCAATAGATGTTCTTTGACATCAAAAAGGAATCTTTGTAATCTATTTAGTTGTTTTTCATTGTTGTATACAATGTTGAATTTTAATGAAGGTAGGAAGTTAGCCATAAATTAATATTAAATGATTGTGTGTTTATATTAGACAAAAAAACATTAGTTTTCTAAAAATTATATTTTAGTGTAAACTTTCTTAAGTATAGAAAAGATAGGGGCCATATGGATTAGTATCCGTTATATTTGTACGTCAGCAACACTTTGCTTGTATTGCTCTGAATGTAATCTAAAAGAGTCCTATAATTCTTTTTATCAAGGGTACATGATGCATTTCATGATACCACTTAGAGGATTCGCAGCTGGACTAATGTTATCTTTGATAATAATTATGTAGATCATCACAAAATTCAGCACGGTATTTCCACCATCTCAACAAGCACTGTTCTTCAGAGGCTATTGACATTGATTAGTTCAAGGTATGCTAATGAATTTTCTGATTCAGCCAGTTTATCTCTGAATACTAGGAATTGCATCCCTCTTCCATTTATAGTCTGCCACGTGTATGCTTAGACAGCTATGCGTATTTCTTTTAATGCTATTTTTAAATTATTTCCCTTTCAAGTTTCAAATGTATTGTACGGTATTGCTGATGGTATTTGTGGGGTCCTACCATTCAGTCTTCATCAATACCTTTCATATTAATTAAGTTTGCGACAAATCAAGAATATCTGCCTCATATCTTACTAACATAAAATGAATGCCATAACCATAAAACTATTAGTATCTAATTAAATACCATTTTACTGATGGGTGGTAATCAACAAATCTATACTTATTTCGACATTAATCATAAATTATAATTGAGTTTTTCTTATAATGCCCCCATGTGTTGAACACGTGGGATCCTTAGATGTTCCTTTTGAGAAGTCAATTGTATGCTCGAGGTGATTTGTAATTTTTGTAAACGCCAGCATGAGCGTGTTTTTCCTTGTACATTTGGCATGTAGTACATTCAAGTAAGTAACCAGTACCATTATAAACACGTCAGTTTTTTGGGTATGCGGTCGCAGATCGCAATAGATCGATTTTCCTTCCTGTACTTTGGTAGAAGCGGTTATTCATCCTTCTTCAAAATCTCACTATTACCTTTGTTGCTAAAAATTAAAAAGGAGGAAATTTGGAAATATAAGTTGGAAGGATAAGTACATAAATACAACATAAAGTGATTTGTTTTTTTTGTTTCTTTCAACTTAATCTTGTGATCTTTGGTGGAGTTCTTGTAGCACTGAACATCCCCTTTTTATGTGCATTACAAAAGCTCATGGAAGAGGGATGTTTGCAGCGTTAATATATAAATTTAAATGGTGTTTACTATGTGGTGTTAAAACATATATATCTAAACTTCATGTTTACTTTATTTCATTTCAGTTCTCCGTATTGCTACTTTTGGTTTCTTTCTCTGTGAACAGATATTTTCACATTTTACTAATGAGATCCTTTTACAGTGATTTTTAACTTTGTTTATGCATTTATCCATTGTAGCCATGGTAGCACAGAAGAGCTAAATTGTTTAACATTAATTATTCTGATACAATTTGGCCTTTTGCTAGTTTTCCAAGGCCAGACTTTCGGATGGATGCATATTTGTTTTAATTGTTCTCTACTTATTTTTACAGTTTCCTAATTACCCTGTTGTTCTGTGAAAATAGTTTCGGAATTTAGCTTCTCATCCAGCAACCCTTAACTTTTAAATCGTTTTTTTCTTTTACAACAAAAGGTTGTCTTATTTTGTAGGGTTCAATGGCAGACGTTACTTGGGATGTCATTCTCGCATCAAAAGGGGATTTCCTTCTAATTTCCTGCTTTTCGATTAACTTCAGTAAGTGATCCTTTTGATTCAGTAGCTTCAATTGCTTGTTGGTTTCTATCTATACTCAATAGTAAAATATTGCAGTTCATCTTCAATGCCTTTTATAGATAAACCAAAATTTGGGTTAACAAGTGTGCCTAAAAAGGTCGCTGTGTTCTTTTGAAATTCAATTCTTGTTGGAAATTTTGCTGCTTTCATCACAATTTTGGATATTTGAAATTTTATTCTGTGATATTTGTATAGATAAACTCGATAATTTTGTTTAGCTCCATCGGTGATGGGTATTGCCATGTATTTCAGAGGAAGTTACTATTGAGGACTGTTATTTGGTGTAGCGGTGTTTCTTGTTTTGATCTCATTCTCGAACCTTTGTTGAATTGACCCTCGATTGATGGCACATATTTAATAGCCCATGTGCATACTTAATCGTGCACATACTCTCTTCTGACTTATCAAATGAGTGAAAGTGAAGCAGACTTATCACTTATCTCAGAGACTATAACCTTGTCCATCAATCTTTAGTCACTTCACTTGAAAATTCATATTTTACTCACTTTTTTGTCTCCTCTGTCGCATTATTTTGATAAATGGCAGTGTTCATGCTCCACTCCCTCATGTGGGATTGGCACTTGACCGCTTGCCAGACATATGTACCCATTTATGTGCTTTTCTATAATCATGTGCGCGGTGTTTGCACACTACGGAGAAGGATAGTTTCTGAAGTTTCCTTATTTTAGCTTGATAAATAACCTTTTCTGTCTAAGTTGATTATTTATTGATTAGTCTTCAACTTACTGTTCCTTTTTAATTCAAATGAAGTTGCGCGGTGCTTACACTTTGTATGTAGAAGTTCTCTTACTTCATGCGGTGGCCTGAACTCACTATGTCTTGTCCTTAACAGTTCGCCAACTCAATAGGGCAAGGTGAGGGAGGACGGGAATGGGAATGGGAAACCTCCTTTTAACGGACATGGAAGAACTAAAGCTGGCGGAACTCTCCGAGCCTTTGGGGCAAGGGCAGGTTGTACAAATCTAGTTAGAGCTGTTGGTGTCGCAAAATTTGGGATACATGCCAAAGCATGATACATGTTGAAATGCCTCGGGAGGGGATAGTATCTACTTTGGATGTAGCAGACCTTCGGAGCTTTGATCGATGTATGGACATTTTTTCTATCGTTTCTCTCTTCTCTTGAAGAATTTGAAAAACAAGAGAGCAATTTCTTCATATTTCTTGAGAGAGAGGAGAGAAACAATAGAAAATTGCAGCAGAAATCGATTAGGGCATCCAAGGCCATGCTGCTTTTGCTGCTGCATCCAAAGTGGTCACTGCCCGTCTCGCAGCATTCTGCCGATCGCTTTGCCAGTTCTTCCAGTACTCCATGGCGCCTGCAGCTCATGTTTCTTGTAAAGACAATATTCGATTATGAAGGTTAAATATGTTTATGAAAGTAGTTTTTTAATACTGATGTCTCAGTAGAATATGATTCTTCTTATTACTGTTATAGACTATTTCATTATTTTGTTCCCAGTTGCCCTCAGCTTTTTGTTACATTTTTGTTAAAAAATTAATGTCTTTATAATCTAAAATATACTTATATTAATTTTATATTTATATAAAATTAATCAATTGATGGCATTAAATTATAAATAAAATTTTTCTTAACAACCCAAACCAAGCCAAGCAACAGAAATATTCTTCAATGAATTAGCATCATACAAGTTTTTTTCAGCCCCCAATGAATAACTGAACATCTTTGATGAACATGTCGTTTTTTGGCATGGCAGAAGTTTTTTGCTTTTTCTTATGAAAAAAATTATTTTTATAGTAGTTTGTATTGGTTTTTATTCAAAAATAGCAATTGAAGATATAAAAACAATTAATTTATATATTACTATATTTTTAAAAAAATAAAAAATATAATTGTATTATTCTTTTTAATTTATATGTTATATTTAATTTAAAATTTTAAATTATAATTAAGATATTAAATTTAAACATATAGTTTTTTAAGTATACTAATAAAATAAATTATAAAATACCAATAATTTAATATTGGATTGTGATTTTATTTTTAATTTATATATTATTTTTAAATTAAAATTTTAAAAATATATTTTTTATACTAGATAATTTAAAATATTTTAAATATAATTAATAAATACAATTTACTTTTTTTGCAATTTTATCAACCGTAAATACAATTTACTTCATTTTTTTATTTTTCAGAATTTTGCATTTAAGTAATTTTTTTATTATTATTTATATGATTGTACATCTGTAAGCACTACCAAAAAATATATATATATATTTGTAATGGAATTCCGTTCCTAAAGTTCACGTAGCTAACGTAATTTTATATCTAATTTCGTCTCTAATAACAGAAAAAAGTGAATTTAGAAATTAAAAAATGTCAAGATTACTAGTATTCTATTTATTAGTATACCAATTATTGCACTTACTAAAATATTATTCCAATTATTGCACTTACTAAAATATTATTCCAATTATTGTACTTACTATCTAATCAAAATTACTATAAATAATTATCCTATTTTTTATTACACAACTTTAAAAATGTTATTTCATTTGTTATACCATGTGTATTTGTAATTACTATATAAATGCTCGTCATTTCTTGAATTGCATTTTTCGTTCAAGTAAATTATTTATGTCTATATTAATTAAAATGTTATTGTACTTACTATTTATCTATAAAAAATAAAATAAAATAAATGCTTACCCTATTTTTAATTGTATAATATTTTATTCATATAAAATAATTTTATTTCCTAAAATGATTTATTTACCTTTTTAGAAATTTAAAATTAAATTATTAAACGGTCTAAGTATCTATATATATCCTGGACCCAAATCATGTGCCAAAGCCCATAGTCAAATGATATGCTAACACGTGTTTCTGACACACGTCACCGTCTTCCCATCGGGCTTTGAAAACGCCACAGCTTTTTAACCTCACAGTCGTAACGGGATTCATCAAACCCCCTTAATTCACCAAGAACACAACACAAAGTCTCTCGCCCTACAACAAAAATACTCCGGCCAGATCATGTTGATTGAATATAGAATGTCCAAGAAACCATCTAAATTTGCGTTGACGATGGCCACTGCTAGGGTTCTACCTCTTCGTTGTTCGGCGTCAGAGCAGATTTTTTTATCTGCAAAATCCAAAATTATTAAGGTATATAACACTATCATTTGAGATTTGTATTTTCAATTTTTTTTAACACTGATTATTGTCATTTGTGTCTATGTTTGTTGTATTGTTCTTTATTTTTAAAAAATTAGGGAAAAATCTACAATTGGGAAAGAATCTATCTGCTAACATATGTTTATGGTTTAGTTATATGTTGATTAAGCTTGATTTTGAGATAAAAGATGGAATAGTCATTGATTTTAACTTCTTGATAATGGAATGTATATGAAATGGAATGTATATGAAATGGTAACTAATTTAGTTTCTTTAAAGCTGATAACTGATGTGTTTTTATTTGATTAACAGAAGCCAATATTAATTGGATATTCAGGTTTGATTTTTTTTTTTTTTTCCTGATGAACTCTGTTTTTTTTTTTCCAACAGGAAGAAAGTGATTTTCAATGTTTAGCCGCACTTTTATGGTTTTCATTTGGTACAATATCCGTACTTTTGCAGGTATTGAGATATCTTGTTGACTTATAATACGTTATTTGTGATTTTTACTAATTCTTTATTTTCATTACGTGTAGGAAGTGCTTTCAGTGTATCCTTTGTTGTCTCCACTTCCTAACTCCAGAACAATCTAATAGAGTCGGCAATGTTCCAGGTTTTCTTGAGGTTCGACACATTTTCTTTTTAAAAAATCATCCCGATGACATGTTTGAATATTGTCTTGTTTGGTGTGTAAATGTTCTCTTAATTTTATCATTTTTAGGATGATCAAACAATATTAATGTTGCACTGTTTGTTGGAACGCATCAAGTATTGTAAGTAACACAAAAAGGCGGGGGTCGGATTGAGAGAGTAGGTACAATTCAATGAACTCTAAGCGTCACGGAATTTGGACGAAAATACTTAAGCATGATTTGTTGAACTTTTACCGACGGGATAGTCTCATCTTTGGATGCAGCAGACCGTGGCAACCTTAGATCATTTTATGGGTATTTTTATTTATGATTTTTTTTCTTACAAAAGAAATGTCTTTTCATACATCAAAATTGTAAAAATGTATCATCTGAGGTAGCCTAGGCTATTGCCGTTGCATCCAAAGCGGTCACTTGCCCGTTTAGTGGCAGTCTCCCGGGTGATGCTTTGTTGTTTTCGTCCAAACTTTGTGCCACAACGACTCATTAAATTGCTCCTACTCTTTTTCTTCCATATGGTCAGTATTATTTATGGAGGTCGGTTGCACATCTTGTCCTACCGTTTCATGCTTTGCTTGCAACCGAGAAAAAAAAGAATGACAATATGCTACAATGTGAAAATTATGTTAGTTCTAAAGTTCCGCAAGGGATGACTTTGTTAGCGGCTGCGAGTTCTTACGTTATAAAAAAAATATTTTAATTCTATAAAAAAAAATCACAATTTTTTGTAACATTGTATCATTAATGTCAATGTGACACCCCGGCCTGCAAGTCACGCAAAGTCGAGCGTGTGGGAGACTTCTTAGGAGGCCACTCATCCTCAAATTACTATAGGCTAAGCACGCTACTCTAGGCCAAGCACGCTCAACTCTAGAGTTCTTTCAGTAGGGCTCCCGAAAAGGAATGTGCGCATTGTTGACATAAATAGTTTATTCAATCTATTTAACCTATATTCAACCTTAGATGGCCTAGCACCGGCTCATCCACGGGAGTTGGCCTAGCACCAGTTCAACTCCAGGGGTATTACAGTCAATTTATGGATTTATTTATTTATTATTTTATTGATATTTAAGCACCATTTATTGTATATTTGAAATACATTGTGACTGTGTTATCCGTAAACGGTATCACTGAATTGTCACAGTAGTTTGTTATGATTCATAAATATATCCACACAAAGGGTATGCATAAAAAATATGGTAGTAGTTAGGAATCTCAAATTAGCACCATGTTTATTTGACCAAATACTAATGTTAAAGAATTAACAAATCATTACATAATATATAGTACATCACTAAATAATTAGCAAATCGTCATAAGGTAGACAAATAATATATATTGTGTTATATAATGTGTTATATATTATGTGATAATTTGTTATTTTCTTTATGGACATTTGGTAATTGAATCAAAGTATTATTGTGATGAAATCAAATTATATTTTGCTAAAATCAAGATATATTCTGCTATATATGAGTATATAATGTGTTTTTCAAATATGTGTTATATTCTATATCGATATTTGTTATTTTCTTTATAGACATTTTCTAATTGGGTCAAATCATCATCACGTTGATTTGATCAAATCAGTACGATGCGGAAAAAATGGATTATAGATCCATAAATATATACACATATAGGATACGAATATGGGAAAAATGCATTCGGAAAACTATATATGAATCTCAATATTATTAATTTTCCAAAAAATCTCATAAAAATAAGTTTAATTAATTATAATTTTTCTTATTTAATATTCTTTCAGTCCTTTTTATTTTTATTCGTTCTACATAATTGTTTTTTTCTTTTTTGAAAATATAATTATATATTCTAATCACATTTTAAAATTCATAATTTATAATATTTTTTATTTTAATTAAACTATTTAGTCATTTTAATATTAATTTATAATTATTTTTATTAGAAAAAAATTTAAATAGAACGGAGGAAGTACTGTGTTTCAATATATCTACTTTCCCAAGATAATATACAAGGATATAGCACATACCATATCCCTTCAGCAATACAATTAAAACTGTGTTCTTTTATTTTTATGGAGTATTTTTGTGTTATTTTATTTTGACTAAAAATATATATCAGAATGCTCACTCAACTAGATGAATTGATTTTTTGTGTGTGGCACGAGACTGTATTGTTAATATAAAAAATATTATTTTGTGTTGAATAATTAACTTTTATTAGTAGATAATGTATATATATTATATTAATCTGTGTATATATTTATATTTTTTTAATAATATTTATTGAAAATTGTTCTATTAAGAAATGCTGAATGAACTGACTAATTTTGTGTAATGTTTCTACTAAAAAAACACGTGAACAATTTTATAAAATTAAATATATTATAATATAATAAATAAAAAATATGATTGATTTAATATTTTTAATAAAAGAAATTAAAATAGTAAAATAATTATAAAATCTTTCAAGTAAATATACCCAATTCTTTTTACATAAATACTAGTATATAGATATGTATATATATATATGTGTGTGTGACAAAATATTATGTAGGATTCCATACATTTTTATGGCTATCATAAAATTTGAATAAGAATCAAGCAAACAATGCAAGGTGTCTTTGTTTATGTTTTTAATCTTACTTTTGGACAATGTAATCTACCGGTAAACACTTGCTCTAGATTCAATATATTAATCATTTTTAAATTAAAAATAAACAAATAATATTGCACGTATAATTCAATTTGATCGCGAGTTCGAATGATGTGGCAGTTGTAATAACTAGTATGTCGGCTAAACTCGAGTTTAGCTAACATGCAATGACATGTTTGTGTGAACCATATCAGCTGAATCTGTCATTTGACATCATCAGAACTCACATTTTCAAGTGGAAAATTTTGATGATTTTTATAAATCCGTAAAATATACACCAAATCATCAGAACGCGCTACTTCAAGTGGTGAGTTTTATTGAGTTGTTAGCCACGTCAATTATCAATTGGATTTGGATCTTGATATGCTGATGATTTATTATGACATGAATCGTAAATGTAAGGATATGATATACCAAAAAATCTACGGTTCCTAACGGGATAGGCAACAAAGTCACATTACCGCCCAATATTACTAAATCACCACCCCTAGGTTAAACTAGTGTTTGCTGTTGTACTAGGAGCCATTCCACCGGGTGCTAAGGCGTGGGTGTTTTGCAACCATTGAGCAAAAATAGGTTTGTAATATGTATAGTGGTATCTGAAAATATATTTTGAGGACGTCCTAAGGCGATTATGGTATCATTATGAATTTACAAACCAAAATTGTGAAAGCCCAAAAATATTTAACCGTAAAAATTAGTGGATTCATCATGAATTAGGTCGGGGTGGTTGGTGGTTTTGAAATCCCATAGAAGAATGCTTCTTTTATGCCTCAGGTATTAGCCATAACTTGTATTCATTCAATAATTCTACTATTTCTTTATTTTTGGACCATGTTTTTAATATTGTGATTTTTTTTGTATTGACAAAAATATTCAAACAACTACAATATACACTATTGTCAATTGAAAATAAATAAATAATATAAATAAATAAAATTTTAATAATCCACGCAGCAGTCAATGGAATCTACGATCAAATGTTACTACACAAAATGTGCAATATGACATGTAAGACAATTGCTGCAAACTCCACGTGACGTGGCAAATTGCACTAATTAGGGGCTGTTTGTTTCAATGATTTGATAGGATTTCATAGGATTTGGATTTTAAAATAGCGTGAAATCCATGTTTGGTTCAAAAAAAAAATAATTGAATTTAAAATGATGAGATTTAAAAACATGGTCCAAAATCCTACAAATGAGGGATTTATTAGTAATGGGGTACCCCTATTACTTTTAAATCCCATTCCATGGGATTTTAAATTTTACTTTTATATCCTTATATAAAAAAAAATATTATATATTATAAATATATTTATATAAAATTAAATTAAATAATTTTAAAATTAATTTTTATTTGAATTATATATTAAATTAAATTAATATTATTTTTTATGGTACAATATTTTTAAATAAATTAATAAATTCATTATTTTAAATTGTTATTTATTATAAATTTTATTTAAATTATAAAATTATCATGATGACAATAAGTTGGATTCAGCCGGAACTGAGATTCGCCACGAATATATATTGTTAAACTTTAGATCCAAATTGGATCTGATTATACCAGATCCGGCCGAAACTATACCCGGTAAAACCCGATGGATCTAACAAATCCAATTCTTTTTACGATTCTTAAATTTTAATTTAAAATTACACATGTACCGATCCGGTATATATATTATTTATGTATTTTATGAAAAAAAATATTATAATAAAATAATAAATAAATTAAACTTAAAAAAATATTTTTAATATAATTATATTGTTAGAAATTATTTTTTCATATGTATAGTCGATATATTATTAATATTATAAATCTGAGTCTAGATGCAGGTATGGTCCGCTTAGACCCTAGACCCGATTCGGACCTGATTAGAATACCCATAATATGACCCGGATTAAGATCTAATACTCAAATAATTGGACTCAACTTCAAATAAATTCGAGTCGGGTTTCGAGTTTACGATAACCTATTGTAATCCCTATAAAAATTATTAATACGTTTTCAATTCATATATATTATAAATTAGATGTTTAATTTACCAAAATAAATAAAATTTACAGGGGACAATTATGTCATTTAGAATATGAAAAATCAAAATCCTTCCACTCATATAAAAAACAAACAAGATGTGAGAAATATAAATCTCACGTAATTTTACCAATCAAACATATGATAGGATTTCAAATCGTAAATATAATAAATCTCATCACATGTAAATCCTGCTGTGAAATCTCAATCCCACAAAAAAAGTCCATGAACCAAACAATCCCTAAAAGTACTTTTTCTTTTATATTCTGTAATTTTTTATTTCAATATTATTAAAGTAATTGGTCCCTCAGCTCTATTATAAAATCAATCAAATTAATACTTTTTTGTCATTTAAATTTATATCTTTTTTTTTGAATCGTTATCCAAAAATATTCTCTTTTTTTTAGTAAAAAATATCATTTTTAATATTATTTTTTTTACTATAAAAGAAATAATTTATACTCTCTTTGTCCCATAACTAAATATTCATTTGTTTTTACACATAATTTTAGAATTATTAGTATTATATTTGGATATAGTATGAATAAAGTAAAAATGACTGAAATAACCTTATTAGTATGTGTGATATGAAGATAATGACATTTGTGTAATATATTGTAAGTTGTAAGGGTATTTGTAATGTTAGTCAGATAGTGCGGTACAAAAAAAATGAATACTTTTGTTATGAGACGGACTAAAATGAAAAAATAAATACTTTGTTATGAAAAAATAAATACTTTGTTATGAGATTGACTAAAATGAAAAAATAGATACTTTATTATGGGACGAAGAGACTATTTTTATTTTATTTTTTAATATTTGTACATGGTCAAATGAATATAATTTAAGACGAGGAAGGGAGTACTTAATTTTTCTTTGAAACATTACATCCAAATCTCATTTTTTTGTTAAAAAACTATTAAGGTGCACAGGACCTAAAACATCGCTGCATTAAATTTCTTTTGCCACTTTTTGATTCCTCTCTTCATTGGTATTTGGTTTTTTAGTTTTTTTAAAATTATTTGATTATATGTATATATATAGTGATTTTGTATTAAAATCATTTTAATACTATAATACTAAAAAAGTAAATTTTATATGTTATATTGTAAAATAATTATGAATAATAAATTTGATAAAAAAACTTGCACAGTTCACGTGCGATTGTTCATTAAAATAAAAATGATGATGGTAATTGTTTATATAAAATCAATCTAAAAAAGATTTTTTTTTATTATATATTATTTTATATTTAATTTATAAAATTATTTTAAATAAATGTAAAATTGAACTAACAAAAAATAAAATAAAAGTTAAATAAACTTACTCAAGCCTGTTGGATTTATTTTTTATTTTTACTTTTTTTATTATTTAATGATAACAAATTTTTCAAAAGCAAAACACCATATTCCAAAGCTAGATTTAGTTAGC